AAGCGGATTGAAGCTTTAGTAAAACTCACTGAAAATTGTGTACCGGTTCTGTACGGACATGGCCGGGAGAGAGCCTGGGTGGAGTGCGACAGTGAGCTCTGCTCCCGGAGGAAGAGCCACCTCCGGTTCCCCAGCGAACCGGTCCCATAGCAGGGCCTTGCCGCCTTTCTGGGGATGCTTTTTGCTGTGGCCAGAGGGTGAAAAATGCGGGGGTCTGGCCGCAGCGCGCGGCAGTGTGGCGGCTGCCGTCGCGACACGTGTGACCCGGCCTGTGGCTCGCTCAGACGGGTGCCCATCGCAGGTCGGCATCCGTGCCTTGGAGTTCAGCAAGGGTTAGTCGAGCATTCCTCTGGTTCTTGAGTTGATTTAAAGTCGTTCAAGTCCAGGGTAGCAGCATCGGAAGAGGCCGCACGGTCTGCAGAAACCTGGGAAAACAGAACTGGGATTTATGGGAGCAGCACAAGTTGTTCTGCTTTTATTATACCAGCATGACTTAGCCCAACGTAGATGGAGAGTTGGATAAATGTTATGAGACGTGTTGATATTAGTAAATGGTGCTTATGAGAAGGCTCTTTCGGATGCAACCATATTGTAATAGAAGTTCATAACCCTAACCAGAGTAGTTATGCCACTAAAAAAGTTGTGGGTACTCTGGGAATCTGAGGATGCCTCTGCAGATTTCCCCTTCTCCCTTCCCAGCTGGAGTGCCGTGCGGTGGTGATTTTCATGGGTGGTCAGCCTCTCCAGTAAAGTTTCTTCTGGGAATCTGCTGTGTGCAGGGAGGTAAATCCCCAGCGATCGCTGTGTCTTTGTAGTCTTTGTTTTGCTTTGCTTGGGATATGCTGTTTTCCTAGAAAAAATTGCAGGCGAGCTGTTTGAGAGGTTTCCAACGGAGAGCTGAAAAGCTGTGCTCGCTATAGGAGGTCATTTGCTGTATGAGTATTCTTTAAAAAGGCCTGTTAATTTTGTGGCTTGCTTCACAGTAGGGGAAGGAAAAAAAGGCAAATGTTGATATATCATCGTTTTTGTGGTATTTACTAAATCTCTGGAACCTAATGGAGTGTATGGATAATCAAAAGACCATGAAATTTATTTTACCCCACTTCAAAATATGCCAAATACCAAGAGGTTCTGGAGGTTTAGGATTGCTGCCAAAATATCTTTATGGTAGTATTTACCCATGGTAGGAGTGTACTAGGCTTCTAATGGGAAATCTCAAAAGATGAATAACTTCATGGCTTTTTTTCCCCTTTATATACCAATAGATCCAATTTGAAAATTACTGCTATTCAGTGATAATTAACTATGTAGAAAGACTTCATGTATTGTTTTGGTGTGAAGATAAAACTCTTGCTTATCTGTAGGCTGTAAAGCTACAGTCCTGATTCAGTTTACGTTCCGAGTCCCTGTGCTGTGTCTTTCCTATCAACTAACCATCTCTAACATGTAAAGCTGTTTGATAGAGGATAATGAGGAAGGCAAGTTGAAGCTGGTCTTGTGGTGAGCAACTGTTAGCTAGTTTATGGTTTTGGCTTAATTCAGAATTTTTGAAGAAAACCTGTGCAAGATACAACATGGTCATGCTTTACTTTCCTTTGTATATTTTTAGGGGATTGGAGAGTTATTTCTTAATTGTTAACTTTCTTTTGACCTATATCTGGTTGAATTTTTGCTTAAGGTGACACAGGACAAAGATCTGGCAAGACCTGATCAGAGGGTTTTATTCTAAGAGTTCCTCTGCTTTCAGCAGCCTGTGGTGGATGCCCAGTTGACCTTTTTCTTGGAGACTAGGGTGCTAAAATAAAGATTAACCGTTAACGTTAATTTTTCAGCGCACATGTTTTCCAGAAGAGCACCACGTAATCACCTCAAAATAGATCAATGCATATATTTATGCATTGGTAATGACTACTTTTTGCCTGACTCGTGCAGAGACCTTTCTCATGAGCTGAAGTTCCACATTTTATAAGAATTGTGCATCTCTGAATTATTTTAAACTTCTAAATATTTTAATGCTAGGTGTTAAATGAAATCTAGTGCTCTTGCATGGAATTCATGTCTCCTGACATACTGTCTCCTGAACTGGGAACTTTCTCTGGCCCTGTGCACAGAGTGGCATCGTCTTCCATAGTCAGATCCTTCTTTAAAACACTTTCTGTGACTTAATCCCTTAAAGTAGGCCAGCATTTTTATGGAGTATAAAATTTTAGTATCTTAGAGAGTAGAGTCTTTTCTTTCAGTCCCATGTGCTTACAGGTTTCTGATGGGTAGCCAGATTTGCTTGCCTTAAATGCAGGGCAAGTGAGACTTATCATAGAATGATGAGAGGAGAGTATTTTGCCCTTTATATTGCTAATGTGTAGGAGTTAAGATAGTCTTCTGCATTTGCTGTGCAGCATTAATAAAGCTTAACCAGACCCTCTTTATTGCTGAGCACACTAATAAGCTTGTCTGCTGATCTTAACTTCTGATTCGGCTATAAATTCATCAAAAAGCCACAAGTTAAGAGCTTGTTTCCTTTAAATACATGTAGAATGGTGATATCCCCAGAGTATCTTACTGTATGATGACAGACAACTGAAAAAGAGAATTGTCATATTTTATATGTTTCAGAACTCTGTTAAAGGGATCGCCACCATGTCCTCACCTCTCCATCGCTTTGTATGTGCTGGCAGTGGGCGATCTGATGAGATGTTGAGTCTTGTGCAAAAATCACTGTAACGTCGTGCAAAAGGTTAATTTGTGGGTTTTCCCTGATGGAAGAACACATTATTTGATAAGTCTTTCCTGTGCATGGATGTATGTAGGTGTATGTCTCTTATCTGAGGCCTTCTCATCTGTCAAAATAAGGTTCGCTCAGTTGCTTAGTTCATGGATTTATTGCTGTGTGAACTTTATATTTTAAAAAAACCCCAAACTCTGTCCTGTGTTATTCAGGGGGATGCAACATACCTACCTCTTGATCCATTGTAATGGTAATTATAACTATCATTGGCTTGGTAATTAGAATTGAGTCCAGAACTATTGTTGTGTAACAGAATTTAAAATATATTATCTCAAGGTAGGGGATCATTATTATGGCAAATGGAATTTGTGTCATCCTGTCAGACTGATGACTTAACACTGATAAAGGGTGATGATATGACCATGTTATTGCAAGCAATTATTTTTGTCAGTCCATTACCAAAGAAGCTTATTAGAATATATACAAGAATACCCACAAGCTCACTATTATTTCTAAATGTGTACTTCATGGAATGGTTCAGGTTGGAAGGGACTTCAAAATGTCTCCACCTCAAGCTGCACAAAGCAGGCTCAGGTGCAAGGTCAGACAAGGTTGCTTAGGGCTTTATCGAGTTGGATCTCAGAAAACTCTTAAGTATGGAGACAGCATAACCAGTCTGGGCAACATCCTTCCTTCCCTGCCTCTCTCCTCCTTGTCTCCCCCAAAACTGGAACCTTATTTTTCTGCGTAGAACTGGTCTCTTCTAGCAGGGCTCTTCAGGTGGGCTTTTTAGGCCAGACCTATTAATCAAAGGACTGCAAGTCAATAGTGGTACAGAAACAGATGCCTTTTGTGTTCGTATCAGCAAGGTGGAATGATTTATACCTGAACTACTAGACAAAACCGAACTTGTGCACCGGCTGCTTTCTGCTACACATCCCATCTGCACGGATGTCTCTGCATCTTCTGATCCAGAAATGAAGCCTTGAAGCTTTTTTCCTTAGCCATAGACAATAGTTCCCCTCTCAATGTTCTACTTACATGATTTGCTCAGGTTATCAGAATAGGAAACAGCATGTTTCTGGGTGAGCTGTGGCTGTCTGTATTATAACTAGCCTCTCTTAAGTCTCCAGTTAAACAATGACCCCATTAATTTTAAATCGGGGTCGAAGATATTAGTTCAGCTAATACCTAACTGGCTCAGATGTTCCATGCTTTGATGATTTAAAGTGTCTTGGAATGACTTTATAATTCCAAGAGATGGGAGTTCAAATCTCAGTGTAGTTGAATTGGCTCATTATCTGCCTCAAGAATGATGCAGTCAGTCATATGAGTGTCTTGACACTAATTAAGCGTCTTTTTGATGGTGTGAAAATGTTGAAAGTCCGTGGTGCCCATTCTGAAGGAGGTTTCTTTGACCACAGTTGTCGTACTTACAGGTGCTTGCATGTATGTGTGTATGCCCTTGTAGGTGATCCAGAGCGTCCTGAGGTAGCTGCACTACTTTGTGCCTGGTTTGTGAAATTCCCTGGATGTCTTGTTAACCGAGTATAACAGACTGCTGTGTGCCACATTCTGGGTGTGCACAATCTGATGGATCGCAGGAGCTATCACAGTGACATAAACAGACTTCAGACCTTGCTGCCTTGTGCTGTCATTCCCAGACTGTATTTTTATGCTGTTTGAAGCACCGGGCTGTTTGTGCACACTAATCCAGCCCCTCTGCTTTGTTTAACTTAAGGCTTCAGCTGAGCCCCGTACTCTTTCTTCCACAGCTCTGGAGAGCAACAACTTTAAGTGCAGCTGACAGCATCGCTATCTTGGCATCCACGTATCAAACGCCCCCCTCTTTGCTGTCTTTCCCTCCTCCTCCCCACGTTTGCCTGGCGTTTTAAACAAGCCTCAAGTGGCCTGTGTTCTTTTTCCCGTGGCTGCATGCTGCAGGAGACATCTGTGTTTCCTCAGGCCTGGCACCCCTCGGCAGCGTTGCTCTCTTCACAGCACGGCCGAGCATCTTCAGGAGTACTAGGGAGAAGCAAAGCAGTGTACATCTGCCCGGTCAGGGCCCTGACCTCCGTCTCGAGAGGAGAAGGAAAGAAAGAGGGTCTCGCCTGTCTCCTGTTGGTAGCCTGCCGGGTGCTACAGCAGAAGAAGCTGCAGGGAAGAGCAGAGCACACGCTGGTGGGAATGCAGCGCTCTCCTCTGAAAGGAGAGAAAGGATTAAAGCCAGAGGAGTTAACAACATTAATAGGAAACTGAAGGCTTTTGTCTTAGTTGTTTCTCCACCTCTGATGAGGCTCTCTGTTGTTTGTCATTTTAGGTAATTTGTGAATAGTTTTGCTGTCTGCAAAGAGCTGTGAGGACAGTGAGAAAGCTGCTGGGTTTTGATTTGTCTAACTTTGTCGCCCAAACTAATTCCTAAAGATGTGTTTCAGGACTCCTTAGGCCAAATTGGAGAAGAATCATAGAATGGTTTGGGTTGGAAGGGACCTTAAAGATCATCTGGTTCCATACCCCCTGCCATGAGCAGGGACACCTTCCACTAGACCAGGCTGCTCAGAGCTCCATCCAGCCTGGCCTTGAACACTGCCAGGGAGGGGGCAGCCA